GAAACACATCAAGTGATGGGATCAGTCATACAGTTACAGGGTCAACAACAGATAGTTAGGAAAAGAAAGAACCCCCCCTCTCACGCTGTAACACACAGTTGTTCAGGTGATCATCACATATCAGACTGCTGACCGAACACATAAACAGGGCAATGGTTCATGCACTAGGTATTCTTAGATAGCCAATAGCGTATTATGAGCATCAGTCATCCTAAGTGTTAGGTGTACTACCAGTAGTATCCAGGGTCTGGTCCCACATGTATAAAATACCAGAACAATACAGTGTAGTACGGCAGTCTGATCTTAGCGATCATACACCATCTACTTCACTCTACTCTTTCTCTGAGTTAACTACTCCCAAGACAAGCACCACTGCTTACCTCTTGAAACTACCAGAACTACACAAGTGAGTGCTGGGGTTGGAGTCAGGGTTAGGGTCAAGGGTGATACCTTGACAGTACCATTACAATTGATTCCATCACTTGGTGCATTTCACCTGCATCATTTGTTTCATATATATTGTGTTTCACCTTGATCATGTTTCACCTACATCACACTTCACTTATATCATGTCTTGTCTTCATCACTGATACAACCCAGTGAAACTGTTTCATGTACAACACTGATCCAACTCAGTGTTTCATACTTATTAAACTCTATTTATCTTGCTCCATTTAAGTAGTACTACTTGCACTACTGTACTTTAGTTTTGTCCTCTTGTTCCCTACATACACTTCATAGGGACAGTGTCTCAGTAATAGACTCAGTTGTCTATTCCAGTCTCAGTCTGAAGCTTTGCTTCAATCAGTACATACTCCAAACCACTATTAGCTGTAGCGGCTCAGTCTACTAGTCTAGTCTCAGTATAATGCATCAGCCTTACATGTACCAGTGTCAGTAGTAGTCATAAGTCAAACTCCTGATCCTCAGTCATCAGGTCCCTTAACACTACTACAGGTGCCTTCTGTGTAACCTTCCCTTGTCACTTTCTTTTCTCCTGCCTTTGGTGCCATAGGTCATCCAGACCTATTGCCCTATTCTTCCATTCTTTGTAGTTTTTTGGTAATGCTCTAGTCACATAGATTTTGTTAACTATACTAGGGTGCAACCTCTTCCTCACTTCACTAATGATAAAAGGTGTTCCTTCTTATATTCTACCACTGGGATCAGTGCTTCTAATTCTTAGAAGAACTCAGTTATATGCCAGTGATGCGACCTTGGGAAACCTAACCCTAAATCTGGGGGATACAAAGTGGAGGGTGAGTTACTGTTTTGTGGGGAAGCTGATAGGGGTGAGGGCTTGTAGTTTTGATAGCTTGCTCAAATGGCAAGGGCTTCACTATGTCTCTTGGGACAGTGTCATGAGGCTGTCTTGGACCATCCGAACACTCTGACTTCTTTGTAGAAGTAAAGGGAAGTAAAAGGGGACTAGCACAACAACTCAAATGCAAAGTGTGATTTGATGATACTTGAGTCTTGTTTGAGAAGTGGACATAGGATTAGAACTTTGGGCTACTCAGCTATGAGAGTGGGTGTGTTTTGGGGCACAGACTAGAGTTGAACACAGTTTGATGAGTGTAGGTGTGGTTTGGAGGGTCGTAGTTGTAGTTTGGGAGGTATACACAACACTTCAAAGAGGGCTCAAAGTCAGATTGAGTTCTGCTGAGTAGGGGGATGTGATTCTGTGTGAGTCTCACTGCTAGGGGCTGAGTACTCCTGTACAACCATATATAATAGCTCTTAAATATCCCCCATCATGCCCAAACCACCTAAGTCCTTGCCTCTACTGCCCAAATGTACTTAATGATCATGATACCCTCCCGATGCTAGCCCAACACCTCTATCAGTTTTGACTCCCATCCTATGTGCTACTTCCTGCTAGTCCCAGAGACTCAATTGCTGCAAGCCTTGGCATTGAAACATGAGTGCACCAACCTAATTTGTCACCTAACAACCCTACACAGTGCATCTCAGTCTCTTGGTGATGGGGATTTTCCCTCAAAGACAAGTTCCTGGAAGATGGCCCCCTTCAAAAGCTCCCAATTAGATTGTAGCAAGGTTGCAACTTCTCGAATATGTCAAAGAATGGAGTTTGGTCAAAATGTGTTTTTGTAGTATCACAGACTTTCCTGAAGTCAAACACTTTGAACACTTCATGTCAATTTGTGCTCAAGACATGCCCACATATGACATGGGCCTATCACTGGTTCCCCTGCTTGATCTTCTTGATTCTGTCCTGGGCCTTGATATCCTGCCTGGACTTCTCAAAATTTGCCTCCATGATCTCAAAGAAGCTGGCATCCAAGAGTTTCCATTCTCCCAGCACCATTACTTGCTCCAAGTGTATGGCCTGCTTCCATTCCTCCACCAATGGCCCCCTGATGTAAGACATCACCACCTGGGGTACCAAGTCTATTTTGTGTTTCCTTTCTGCAATAAATTCCTTCATGTCTCTCCACCAGGACTTGAACTTCTTTCTATCACCATCAAATAATCCATATCTGTGTCTCTGTGCATAGCTAAAGAAGATGCTCCTATGAATAACATTGTTTGAAGACTTTCAAAGGAGATATGGGTTGATGAGCTGTATGTCAGGGTTTGGACATCTGTGTCTGAGTCAGAGTCTGAACTTGAGTGGTCTGTTCTAAGACCAAATGATACTATACAACTCTTGAGGCCAATGCAATCCCCACAGAGTCAGAAGTGTGTATAAAAAAGAAATACACTACAGAGCCTGCTCATGTTACTCACAGCTGCCCAAGAGAATCAGTGCGCCTTTGATTATTTTGCACCCTAACCATCTACTTGGGAGAGGATTTGACCTCTAACTCCAGGGTACATTATCCCCAAACAGAGTCAACCACTTGAGAATATAAATTTGCTATGTATAGTAACCAGTACCCCAGTAATGGAATATAGTAGGGGACAAAGTATTGCAATGTTTGCAATAGTTATGTTGCTAGGCCTATATCTAATGAACCAGCTATCAACATATAGTATCTATGGGTACCATTGGAAAGCCTAGGATCTGGGCTATACGATAGACCCCACAAACATGTGGTTTGATTAGTGTCACAGAATTTCATAGTGTCTATATTATCTCTAGTGTCTAGATGATCTATATCTTATCTGATTAGATATCTACCTAAGATAATGATAGTGTAATGCATGGTGACATGTTACCAGTCAGGTGTCTAGCTTATCAGAAGCG